ATCTCCCCGGCCCCTTTTTTCTTCTAAAACAAGAGTCGCACTGTGTAGTTGATTGCTTGCGTACTGGGAATCAGAACTGAGTACCTTTTCCTTGTCAGACAAGTGTTATGCTACTGAGCTATATCCCCATTCTGAGCTATATTCCCAGCAATTTTTGATTGTTTGCTTTACATTTTATTTTATTTTTATCTTTTTCAGACAGGGCTTCACTAGGTAGTGCAGGCTGGCTTTGAATCCAGGTTGTACCCCAGCGGGCCTCCAACTCACAGCAGTCCTGTCTCAGACTCTCAAGTGCTGCGATTACAGGGATGTGCCACCATGACCCAAAACAGGCCCAGTTTTGAGGTTAGATGAAATTCCTTGGTTCTTCACTTTTAGTTGCCTTCATCAGATTTCATTTTTTCTACCTTGCCTCTTCTCCTAGCAGGTTCAGATTCAGCCCTGTCTGCCCTAGGACAGGGGTGTTCATGGTGGGGTACAGTCTAAAGCAACGGGGAGCTGCCCTGTAGAGCAGGGATTCCGGGGAGAGCCTTTCACAGAGCCTGGCATTCAGGCTCTGGGGCACAGGTAGCCTCCTGCAGGCCTCACTGCGCCCAGAGGACTCCAGTGCGGACAACCAAGCGCCTCCCCAGATGCTGGGTAGATGGTGTCCCTGGTCCTTCCTGGGCAGGTCTCCAGGGAGCGACAGGTGAGAATGGGGTTCTGCCCCCAGACTAGGCTCCTAGATGGGTTCTGGGTGAGAGGTGGTGAAGTCTAGGGTCTGGGATTTGGAACCCCAAGTGGAATTCGTTAGTATGGAGGGCAAGTTGTGGTGAATTTAGCCCTCCCAAGTCCCCTCAGCCTGCCCTACAGCCTGGTCCTAGGACACCGAGGAGGTGGCTTGATTGCTGCCCTTGCAAATGCGCCTTTTGTGTTTCTATTCCCTTTTGGTGCAAGTCCCAGGCTTGCACACTGTGAAGGGTAGCCCTGACTAGGATAGCGCAGGGGTGCCCTACTCTAGCCCTGCTCCTTCCAGCCTGTCTGAACATGGGGAGCAGTTGCATAAAATTCTGTTCATGTAAAACGCTCCTCCCTGCTTACTCTTAAAAGTGTACTTAAAACAAGTCATTTGAGGTAACAAGAGTGAAAAAGGAAAAGATGACTCATTTGTGCATTGGCCGGGAATCGAACCCGGGCCTCCCGCGTGGCAGGCGAGAATTCTACCACTGAACCACCAATGCTGCGCTGGGAAAAACTCTCGCCTGGTGGCTCAGGCAGTCGATGGGAGGCACTATTTAGGATCCGATTTCTGTCCAATCACACTCTCCGTGGTTCCCTGGAGCCCTGCCTGACCTCAGCCTTCCCCGGACCCCACATCTTCCGGCGTTCCAGTCCTCCCACCTCCCGTCGCTGGCGGCTTCCTCTCTTTTGTCCTGAGACCGGAATCAGCTACACTCTTGATCTTTCCACCACCCACGTATCTCCTGCAGCGCGAAAGCGGGGAGGTGTGTGTGGGGGGGACCTTGCCAGGATTCTAGGGACCCTGGCAGGATGAATGGCAGAGGTCAGCGTTCGGGATGTGCTCTGTTGTGCCCCGTCTTGGACCTGGCCACGGGGCCCACAGTACCAGAAAGTCCTTCCAAAACTTTACCCTCCCTGGAATGGATGGATCCCTGCCCCTCCCGCAACTCACCACTCTCCTCCCGGTCGGGCTGAGTCTGTGAAAAGGGGTCAGGCTGGCCCTGGAGAGCCTGGGACCTTTGGGGAGTAAGATCATCGTTTTCTAGGGCCTGGAACAAAGGGCCAGGTGGTCTGGCCACAGTCCTAACCTGTCTGCTGGCCCCGCATCCTGCTGATTCCCTTGCCAGGATTAAAGGCGCTTACACCCCCACCTTGGCTTGGGGCTCTGATTTAACTCTTCCCTTTCATCCATTGCCAGACTCAGATCCAGAACATGTGCAGTGCCTGGCTTAGGCTGAGGAGTTTCTGGAGGCACCTGTCCCTCTCCTGCCCCTGGGTCCCCAGGGAAGTGTCCCTGATCAGAATCCACTCAGGGCAAGCTGCTGTGCCTCGGTTTTGCAGAGTAATCTGGGGCAAGTCCCTGGGAATCTTGGCATCCTAAGGAACAGCTGTATACTTCATTTTCCCCAAGTTCAGCTGGGGACCAAAGAGACTCTGGCCCTGGACAATGACACACACACCCCTTTCCCCATCTGTCCCCATAGCAGCAGTAGCAGCAGCAGCAGCAACTACCACCTGAACTATGAGCTGCACACAGATGACGTTCCTTATAGGTGAGTGCATCCTGCCCCGGTCCCTGGGAGAGCCCATGGGCTGGTTGGCCTGACTTGCCTATCCTGACCCTGCAGGGTGTATGGATACCAGAGGATCCCCCCACTCATCAACCAGATGTCTGCCAAGCTCCGGAGGACTTTCGTGGGCCTCGGGGTCAAGAGTGGCTGCAGCCCCTACAAGTCCTCTAGGAGCAGACCCCTGCCCTCTGAGCAGATAAAGCGTAAATAGAGCCCCAGCATGGGGCTGGTGAGATGGCTCAGTGGTCTAAAGCGCCTACTTAGAACAAGCTTAGCAAAACACAGGGACCGCGGTTCAATCCCCCAGCACCACATGCCAGCCAGCCCCCCCCCCTGGTGGGCTGAGCTGGCCACACACACACACACACACACACACACGCAAAAATAAATAAAAATAAAAATAAAGCTTCTAAAAAAAAAAAAAAAAATAGAGCCCCAGCTGCCATGCTAGGCGGGAGCTGGGTGGCTTGTGTGTACTACAGTGGGCCCAGGACCCTTGCACTTGGCTGCCGTGGCCTCTGTATGCCGTGGCCTCTGTATGCCTCACCCAACCCTGGTCCCTCTCCAACAGTGAGGACAGAGGACCTGCGCTCCATCCGGGGGGAGCTGAGCCAGATCAAAGCCCAGGTGGACAGGCTGCTGGAGGTTCTGGAGCACATGGACCAGCACAGGGCCCAGGCTGCAGGTCAGCCTGCAGGGTCAGCCCCCGGCCATGTCCTCAATGGGCCCCACCTTGCTTTTCCTGACTTGGAAGATGTCAGGGGGCCCAAGGGCCAGATGGGGGTTTTGTCTGCAGGCGTGCCCTCTTTGCTATACCTTATGCTTTTCTTGACTGTTCCTGTGGCTGGGGGGCAGGCGGGCTTGTGGTTCTGTGTTGTCTTGTCATCTCTACACACTCAGGAGCTATGGGGAGTCATGACTGGGTGCCAGCCCATCAACCTCTTGTCCTCTCAAGCTCTAGATCACTTCTGGTCCCTGAGGGAGTGTGCTGGACCCTCCAAACTTGGCCCTGACTGATCTTTGTTGTTGTATTATCTTTTTTTTTTTTTTTTTTAATGTGACAGGGTCTCACTATGTACCCCAGGCTGACCTTGGACTCAGAGAGAGCCTCCTGCTGCAGCCCTCTGAGTGATAGGATAACAGGTGTCTGTCACTATGCCTGGCTAACTATTGGTTTTCTGCACAGGGATAAAGGACAGTGACAAGAACGGAGTCCCTGGTAATGAGGGCTGCTCATGCAGAACCTCAGAGGCTCAACCAGCACCCAGGGGCTGGAGGGTCCATCCAGACAGCTCAGAGGGAAGGACAGCCACAAAGCAGGTGGTGAGTGCTGTGGCCCCACTCCTTTCCCACCCTTCTTGTGTTGGGTCCAATGGCCTCCTTGTGAAGCAAAGGAGGTACTTGAGTTTGGGCAGGTTTGAATGGGGAAAGCAGCATGTACATGAAGGACGGGCTCTGCCTTGCTGTGTATCTCAACTTTGGACTTCATTAGCCCAGAAGTACCAAGGGCTACTACCAGGCAGCTGGGCCCTTAGGTCAATTCTGGGTTAAAATGTCACCTTTGAAGGCAAGGGGAGGAGAAATGTAAGCACTCTAGAGGAAACATCACAGGTGCATTCTGGGGCCTGGATCCCTGGCATAAGAACCACCTGGTAAGTTGTGTGAATGCACCAGTTTCTGCCCTCTCCGCAGCCCCACCCCCACCCCCACTGACTGCCCCAGTGTCTCAAGCTGTCTGTACAGCTCCCAGCTCCACAGGCCATGGCACACTGGCATTCCTGAGTGGAGAGGCCCCAACCCTGAACCAAAAGTGGTCCTGTATGTAGCGTTAGAGCCTGCATCCCCTCCCTCCACTATCTGTAGTCTATAAGGTGATCCAATGTCACACTGCCAGTTGGACCCTCCCAGCAAGGCCAGGGCATAGAGGTTGGCAGTGGTGAAGTCCCCTTTGCCCTGGCCAGCTGTGTCCTAGCCTGCTCCCAAGACACAGAGTTGTGGATGTTAGGTGTAGATGTTAGCAGGTGGCCCTTTCCAGCTGTACTGTCTTCTTGTTCCCTCGGCCTGATTTCTTGTACAGGTGCAGAACCAAGCCTCTGACCAGGAGGGCAGCCAGTAGCAAGTGGGAACACTTCCAGGCTCATCAGCTCCAGGCACCTTCCTGGTTGCACCCCTGCTCTGCCTTGTTTCTTTTCTGAAGGTCTCCAGTAGTACCATGCAATCTGAGCACCCATTCTGGCACCAAGACAATGGAACATGGTTCAGCCGCACCAGTGCACCAGCCGCACTAGCTGGAAAACCTCCCTGTAGTGTTGGGTTTAGCCTTTTTTTTTTTTTTTTTTTGACAGAACCAGGGATTGAACTCAGGCCTTTGCACTTGCCAGGGAAGCGCTTATTCTACCAAGCCATCTCCCCAGCCCCTGGGTTTAGTTTTGATGGTTGTTTCCAGAATCCTGGGATGGGCAGGACTGCAGGGAGACTCTGGATGGCCAAGCAAAGCTGAGGTCTAGCATGCAGGAGGTGCCCCGAGAGTACAGGGAGCACCACCAGCCTTTCTGGGAAGCACTGCCATACTTGCTCCTTTCCTTGCCCTACATGTCACAGCACTGGCTCAGCCCTCACCAGCCAGAGGTGAAGCACACTCATGATCCTCCATTCTAACAACGAGGTCTCTGAGGCCCACGGTATGTGCTCCTCTTTGCTTCCAGACTTCAGCCCTACACAGCCACCCTTCAGAAGAGTGGCCCCATTTTTATGTCCTGTGTCTGCCTTGTTTTTCATTAGTACACTGTATATTTCAGATCTGCTCTAGGAAAATGTACTATGTCAGAGGGGAAACTAAAGGTCCATTTCTTCCTGGTCAGTTCTTAATTTGTGGTCCCAGAACAACATTCTTGTTCTCGCACTACTCTGGGCCAGCCCTTCCTATAAAAGGGGAGCTCTTGAGACACTATTAATATATATAGTGTGTGTGTGTGTGTGTATGTGTGTGAGATAGGGTTTCTCACTATGCAATTCAGGCTGGTCTCAAATTTGAGCGGATCCTCCTGCCTCAACTTTTGACTGCTGGGATCACAGGCATGTGTCTTCATGTCCCAACTGTATTATTTTCTATTGCTACGTACACATTTGACCCATCTATGTCAAAGACTGCAAATTTTGTTTGTGCTTTAAAGTTTATTTAACTGAAATGGACTTCTATTTGCTTAACCAAAATAATTTCCATTTACTTTGATATGCCTTTTCCCCATGGTGATTTACAAGATCTTCAAGCAAATATAAATTTTATAAATATTTGGATATTTCGGTATACACCTGCACAATACCTCCGCAATATCTTTCAGCAAGAAACACACTGAAGAGTAGACTAGACACAATTACGAGATACAGTGAAAATCTGCTACAAGTCTTTTTTTTATGAGCAGAATATATTTATTGAGACAAAGCTCCTGTCCCGAGAGATGGACAGGAGGGGCCCGAGTGGGTAGTTTCCCCCCTGCTACAAATACTTCTGAGGTAAGATGGCACCACATACTTGTTCAACTAAGAAAACCACCCTTACAACACAGGATTTTAAAATTTTTACTAGGACCTAGAACACTTAAGCTGCCAACCAGGTGCTGAATGGCAGAGTGACATCCCCAGCTTATGCCATGAATTCATAGGGAATGGGTTCCAACAACTCAGGCTCCTTCTCATTGGTTCTCACAAAGTGTGCTTCTCTGGGTGAGGCAGACTGGCGCTTCAACTGAACCCAGGGACCTTTTTGGCTTCCTTCCTTTTCTGATCATTTTCCTTGACACGTTTCAGGAAGCTAGCAAGACCCTTTGAAGGGCTGGTGGGATAGCTCAGCAGACTAAGTGCCTGCTTTGGCAAGCCTGGTGCTTGATGCTGCCCTGGCCCCACCTCTGGAGCACACTGAGCCAGCAACCAAGTCCAGCTGTGGCGGCGCACGCCCGTAATCCCAGCACTGGGGAGGCTGATAAACAGGAAGATCCCTAAAAGTCTGAGCTGTGTAGTGAGACCTGTACCAAATATACAAATGGAAAAACAGAAAAACCTCTTTGAGTGTTTAATATGCTCAATACGCTTATTAATCCTCTTGGAAAGTATCTTGCCTTTAACTTGTTTACAACAATGCTAAAGTATTCTGGGCAATACTGTAGACTTCCTGTTTTACGATGGTAACATTTGTGAGGTGTTCCTTTTTGCACAGTACCCTTCCCCTGATGTCTACAGTATCACCCTTTTTGTAGATTCCCACATATGTGACCAAAGAAACAACCCCGTGTTTTGTTTTGTTTTTTGTGGAACCAGGGATTAAACTCAGGGAAGAATAAGCCAGGGAAGCGCTTATTCTACTGAGCCATCTCCCTGGCCCCAACCTCATGTTTTCTAAAAGGTCCATAGAACATACACCTGGTTCCCCTCCTCTTACCCTTTGTGTTAGTAATTTTGGTAAATTATTGGAAGATAGCAGTTCCATTAAGATTGTAATTTTTTAAAGTTTTTCATGAAATTCAAGAAAAATGTCATGAAATTACCTAGAAAAATTCAAGTGAAAAGGACTTGAAAAAAACCAATTTCATTATGTTCCTTTTCTTGTATTTTTGAGACAGGGTCTTGCTGTGCAGTTCAGGCTGGCCTTGAGCTCACTTTGTAGCCCAAGCTATTCTCAGACTTCAGACAATCCTCTTGCCTTGGCCTCCCAAGTGCTGAAATTACAGGTGCATACCATCATGCCCCCCAAGACACTAAAATTTTGAAGGTCATACCAAACTGGGGTGCAGACCAGAGTGCTGTGTCCTTTGAACATTTATCTGGCTTTCTCTAATCCAGTCCTGAGCAGATGGCAGGATTTAGGTGCCACAGAGCCATGTACCATCTCGTGGTCAGTCAGCTCAGCCCTACGAATAAGGGCCCTGCGCAGCATCCCACTATTGGGGAATTCTCTGCGAGCTTACGTGCCCTCTTCCCCAGCCCATGCCGCTCAGGGCCTCCCAGAAGTGGAGAGTGCAGAGGAACAGGCAAGTCAAGCCTGGAACCCCACTTTTCACCAGCACCAGTTAAAGCCTCTTGGACTGCTCTGCCGGCCAGAAAAGGCTGGGCTGTGGGTTCTACCCAGTGCACAACCCTTTCCAGCTACCTAACCCTGAGCTGTAGTTTTGGCCGGCACTAACCCTGGGGCTTAGGGTAAACCCAGCTTGCTCCTGAGCCATGTCCTCCTCCCTGCTCTCATCAGCAGCTTCTTCCAAAGCAATTGCCCACATTAACCCCGGCAGCTGCTTCAATAGTCAGCCTGGTTTTTTTTGCCCGCTAAGAGGCAGGTAGGTATAGTTAAGGCTGTACCAGCCCAAGCCCGGATCCAAGAACGTAATTCCTCAGCTCAAAAGAACCTCTTTCAAATCTTACACAAAAAATAACAAAAGACACTTAAAAAATAAAAAAAAAAGGTGTTTGTCTTAGATATAAAGAAGGCATACAGATCCCTTGCCATCCTCTGAAAAGTAGCCCAGTTTACACAAGAGTGAGTCGGTGGCAGGCTGAAGCCTTTTACAAGGCTCCAGGTCTCATTTTCCAAGTGAGTCCAACAGAGAAGTCCTTTCCAACGTGGGGGGCAGACTGCTTTCACAGGTTTCCTCAACTGGGTCGTGTCTGGGAGCCAGCTCACGTAGCAAAGTTCCTTTAATAAGGAATAGTTTGTAAAAAGCCGTATCTAGGCAGCTATCCGGCTCACCCGCCGTGTCCTCCACCCCACATCCTCGCCTGTGCTCCAACTTCCGAGCTCGGCACAGTCAGGAGGCCGGCGGCGCAGGTCTTCTTGGTGTAGAGGCAGCCCGATCCTCGGCGTAGTCGTTGCGCAGGCTTCGGGCTCAGGGCGGGGCGGCGGCGCCCCTCGAACGGGCTGCGCGCACCAGGCACTGCTGCAGCACCGGGTAAAGGCGCTGGCAGCCCTCAAGGCCGAGGCGCACGGCCTCTGCCCAGCTCTCAGTCTGGCCGCCCTCGCCGCTGCCCAGCAGCCCAGCGACCTGATTGAGCACCGGCATGAGCGCCACGGTGAGGCCGGCGGCGGCGCGCTCCTCCTCCATGCGCGTGGGGTCCAGGAGCCAGGTGGGCTCGGGCCCCGGCGTGAGGCTCAGGCCGCAGCCCACCACCAGGTCGTACATCTCGACTCCCGCGTCGGCCAAGGCGAGGGCGGCGGCCGTGAGCGCTGCGGCCAGCGCCGAGCCGCCGTCCTCCAGCAGCAGAGCCGACACCTCGAGCTGCGCGCGCGGGTAGCGCCCCAGGCGCACGGCCGGCTCCAGAGCCTCCTGCAGCGCCAGCGCCAGCTCGCGCTCCTCGCCGCCGCCAGGGGGAGCGCGGCGCCGACGGCCCGAGAAGGGCGCACGGCGGAACTCGCATACCAGACGACCTCGCAGCGCGGCGGGGGCCTCCCCACCCGCCCCTGCGGGGCCACTCCCGCGCTCGCCGCCCTCGGCCTGGCGCGGGCCGGACACGGCACACAGCACCTTGGTGCCTCCGGCCTCCAGGTAGGCCGAGCCCTTGGCCTGGCTCAGCAGCCCTGCGCGCGCGTACACGGGCCGCAGCCGCGTCGGGTCGCGGGGAGCGGGCGCCTCGTCCTCGTCAGTGGCATACAGTTGCGGCGGCTGTGACTCCTCAGGCCCGCGGATGCGGCGGTGATCGCCGGGCATGGCAACGACCGGCGCCGGAGCTGCTTCCTCCTGCTGCCCTACCTCGTGCGAGCGCTTCCGCCCGCTTAAAGACGCGCGCCCGCGCAAGGGCTGTCGGGATAGCGGCGGCAGGGCACAGCCACACTGCCCCCGCTGGTGTGGAGGGACAACAGCGAGCACTTCTCGGCGCGGGGGCTGAAGTCTGGGCGCCTGGGCGGGGCAGTCGACCTCTAGCCTCCCAGGATAAGCCCGTCTCAGGAAGTAGATCTTTTTCTTTTCATCTATGACGGTTGTAATTAGTTTTGCACTTGTTCCCACTGCCCTGACAAAGGGAGGACTTTCAGCTCTCCTTAACCTGTGCCTTGGCGGGAATAAACACGGACGGATGGAATGTTTTCTCTCCTGCACAGGACTTTGAAGTCATCTTTATTCTTATCTGAGACAGGCTGGCCTTGCACTCACATGTAACCCAGGCCTGGCCTCAACCTTGCTGTAGTTCTGCCTCAGCCTCCCAAGTGCTAGGATTACAGGCATACACCACACCCGGCTCTCCCCACCTGGGGCGTACTCCTCGAACCCCCTCCTCTCACACGCCAAGTGAGGGCCCTCACCCCCAGCGCAGATCGCCTCCCAAGGCCAGTCACCTTGCGCACCGATTCCAAACCTTGACTTCAGACTAGAAAGGACTGGACTCGTCCCCATCCTTACTGACCATCAAGGAAACGAGGGGGTAGGCACTGGACCAGGGAAGGCAATGCCAGTACCTTGAAAACTATGAGACCACCTCACCTCTCCTCAGCGGTTTCAGAGGGAGGAGGGGGACAGAGGCCAAAGAAATGGAATTGTCCAAGAGGTTCTAAGAAAGATGTGTCCTTGCTTGAAGTAACCCAGTCATTTCTATGGACTTACAAATGCCTCTCTCCATCTCATGCCACCCCTCTGAAGGCAACCCCAGGGGCCATTCCCAAAGCACAGCCACTAGAGCTACAACAGAGCCAGAGCACTTCTGTGGCCACTGAGAATAGTCCTGGGCTGCTAGGCAACATCCAGGAGGAAAAGATACAGGTAACATGATATCCTCATGTATTGCACATAGTCCTTTTATTCTCTGAAGCAAAAAGGCCTCATACCTGCAGACTCAGAAGTTTCAGGACAGGGACGTTTTCTACAGACATGAGCATGACTATGTTAAACAGCAATCCCGTGTAGTGGTTGTAGACAGATGGTGCTGACATGTTGGGCTCAGAGCAGTAACGTAAAGGGACAGAGTCACAGGATGGCTCCCAGGCATGTTCTGGTTACTGCGGGGGTTAGAGGATGGATGGGGCTGTTTGAAGGTCCCCAGATTCTAATGCCCTGTGGCATATGGAGAGCCCCTGGCTGGACTGATGCATCCAGGTGGTAGTGGGGAGACTTTCCCAGCTGGAGCTGTTCTCCCCTCAGTTCTTCACATCTCCCAGGTGCAGTTGGGCAAAGGAAGTTGCCAGCTGTAGTGCCTCCTGCAGGCAGCCCACGTTTTTGCCTGTGGCCTGGGCAGACACATCCTTGCCACCACCTTTGCCATCCATCAGGCCTGACACCTGCTGCACCCACTCGCTGGCTTTTAGGCCCCGGTTGGCTGCATTCTGGAAGACAGGAAGGGGAAGTAGGCATCAGGACCGAATGGGACTGAGGGAAAGACAAGGAACAGGAGCTATCAATATCCACCCTTACCCCGGGGGAGAGACAGACCACTACAGCTGGGGTAGGAAGTAGCTGGTGGCCACTGCCATGACCAGGAAAAGTGGCAAACCCAGGTATCAACCAGCACAGTTCAAATATTTTCACCAAAGAAAGACCTAAGGGTGAGGGGTGATAGAGAAAAGTGACAACAGGTGGGTAGACTGGATGCTTCTCATGGGGCCTGTGGGCAACTAGCCTTGGCAAACAATGGGAAGAGGACCAAACTCTGAGCAGTTATGGATTTTGCTTCCCACCAGCTTGGGGGCTTCCAGGATTTGGAGCAAGACTACAGGCAGTTCTGACCTGGGGTACTTGACACAAGCATGTGATCTTGCCAGCCTCGTTGTCCACTGTGAAGAGCATGGCAGAGGTCTCAGGGGAATGAGTCTTAAAAAGCTTCAGGGCTTCATTCAGGGCCTATGGGGAGACTTGGTATCAGGCCACAGCCCTGGGGCAGGGGCCTTACTCTGCACAGGAACTGTTGCAAAGCTCAGCCCAAAGACCCCGTCACTCCCTGGTGGTCCCAAGAGTAGGTGCTGTCTCAGGTCCCCGTGTGGAGGACTCAAGCCAGGGCCCTGGCCACACTCTGGAGCTGCTCCTTCCTCCAGCCACAAATCTCTCCATGGCTCAACCTAAACTTAGCCCTAGACAATAGGCCCTCAGGTGCCCGGAGCTCAGAGCCACAAAGCCCACCCATTTGCTACCAGAGGGCTGAGGCTAAGAAGGAAGGGGACAAGCAGTGAAAGGTGGGGCAGCGCCTGGACCCCAGCCCTCAGTTGCCTTGGCAGAGGCACCGCTCTCCATCTCCAGGATGACCAGGGGCTGGTTGGGGTTGCTGTCGATGAGCTGCTTTGTCCTCTCCAACACCTGCAAGGAGGAATCCAGAAGAGAGGCTCAGGCAAAGGCCCAGACCTAGAAAGCTACAGCAGAAACCCTCCTTCCCAGCTCCCTTCCATCCTGTAGCACTGCCAGACGCACTCGCTTCTGGAGGTCAGCCTTGCTGGCTCGGTCTAGGTCATCCATGACCTTCTTTAGGGATTTCAGAGTCTCCCGAAGTTCATCCTTCTTCCACTGGGGAATAACCGCGGTGGCCAGGGCCTAGAACCAGAATGGGAAGATGTATGGGTTTGGGCCACGGGAAAAAGGGCTTGAGCTCCAGCCCAGTTTCCCCTTCTGCCTCTGAACCATAACTCCCTGCCAAATGTCCTGGAAAGGAGAGAAAGTTAAAAAAAAAAAATAAAAAAATAAAAGATTAAAAAAAAGTAACCACTGGCCTTGAGCCCAGTTGCTTTATAGCGACCAGAGCAGCTGTCCCATGCATGGTAAGAGACAAAAGAGCCTCATTGAAGCCCAGCTCTCACTAAAGCTTGGTCCTTTCCAGTTGTATTCATCAATCTAAGGGGTCCCCTTTGCAAGGACACAGGATGACAGAAGTTGGCCCAAAGGCTATTCCCCTGAGAACCAGGGGCTGGCTGCAGTGACAGTTCTTCAGGAAGATGTGGGACCTCCATCCTCCAGCATAAGCAAAGAGTAGGTGTGTTGGGGGGATGCCCTACCTCACCAAGGTCAGCAATCTCCTTCTGTACATCCTTGTTTGGTGCGGTCTGGGCGTTCACTTTGGACTCCATGGTGGAGAGAGATTTCTTTAAGCTCTCTGCCTTCCTGAGGGCCTGGAAAGGAGACAGACCTGTAAACTCTGAACAGAAACTGTTAGCATCCTTTGTTGTCTATTAACAGCTGTGGAAGTGCTGATGACAGGCTGTGCAGCAACAAACCCCAAGACACCAGAAGCTCCTTTCCTTCAGGGAGCAAGCGCTGGCAGCTGCTGCTCCACAAAGGAGTAACTTCTACACGTGCCAAGCTGGCAAGGGCTGCACCCTAACTCAGGCTCAGGGTGTCCCAAGACAGGAGCTCTCATACTGCATGAATGAACCACACCTCAGGATATGGCACCCCCAGAGCAACCGTCCCTCTGTAGCATGCACTTAGCACAAGGCACACACCACTTAGGATGTACGGAGATGCAATGGGGCACTGAAACCACAGCAAAACACGCCAGCCAGGAAACCTTGTGCGGTGCTGCCTTTCCTCTAGCAGGCAATTAATTGGTGAACATCTACAGGTAGCAGTTTGCCCTTTCATTCTGACTACAGTGACCACAGAACCGTGCACTGCATAGATTTGCAGACTGGACACCTCAGGCTCTTCTGATAGTTACACAGCAGCTACTCTGCTCACCTTCTGGGCTTCAGCACCTGTGACGGCAACGATCCTGCGGATACCCTTGGCAATAGCTTCTTCTGTCACAATCACAAAAGCTCCTGCATGACTTGAGTTCCGCAGATGCCTGAAGGGCAGAGCAAGAGTCCTCCGTGAGAAGCTCAGATGGCCTGGGCCGCTGTGCCCACAGCAGCTGTCAGTGGCTGGGAGGCAGCTGCCCCAGCAAAGAGAGGGTAAAGCTTTTCGTACCAAGGGAATCTCAAGCACAGCACTGGCTAAGCAAGGGCAAGGGATGTAGGGCCCAGCAGCTCTGGGCTCCGAGCTGCAGCTTTCTCACATAAAATGGGACAATTCTCCCTCACGTAGCTGTTGGGAAAATAAAATGGCAGAAACATGGAGGAGTGCTAACATCCATCCATTACTGCTGGTAGGATCCTCATGACATGTTTGGTCCTTTAATGAAACACAAGTTTTATGTTTATACAGTAAGTCCCTGAGTTATAAACATTTGAGTTTCATGGATCCCAGTGGATCTCGCATTACCAACATTCTCAGATTGAAGGAATTGCAGAAGTAGCTTGCGTGTCTGCCGGACACTGCCGCAGCTGTGCTGTGCTGCTGTGTGCGCACTGTACCATGTGACCGTGTATAGGAGCACTGTGCTCTATGGCATTGGAGGGCATCCGGAAATCAGAGGAAAAGCAGTGGGATGTGGAGGGGACTGCCAGGAAGCTCTCAACTGTATACAAACTTGTTGGACTTACAAACGGTTCCCCGGAAGGGAACTCATTCCTCAGTTGGGGACTTACTGTATCCTGCTCTCTAGATAATACCAGGGATGTAGGTCAGTGGCAACCACTAGCCTTGCATGTACAAGGCCCTGGGTTCAATTTCCAGTACTACAAAATGAAAAAAAATTAAAAAAATTAAAAAAAAAAACACAAAATTGTGGCCAACTATAGTGGACTATACCTCTAATCACAGTGTTCTGGAGGCTAAGGCAGGATGAGCTCAAGTTAGAGGCCAGGACAGGGAACTTAGCAAGATCCTGTTCCAATTTACTTATTTGCTTTTCTTTTTTTTTTAATGTCAATTTTTTTTTTTTTTTTTTTTTTTTTTTTGGCGGAACTGGGGATCAATTTATTTTTCTTTTTTATGTATTTGGAGTTTTTTTTATTGTTGTTGTTTTTGTATTTTAGGAATGGCCAGTACAAGTTAGAGGCTTGTACAGGGAACTTAGCAAGATCCTGTTCCAATTTACTTATTTGCTTTTCTTTTTTTTTTAATGTCAATTTATTTTTATTTTTTATGTATTTGGGTTTTTTTTTGTTGTTGTTGTTCTTTTTGTATTTTAGGAATGGGTCTACAGGGTGTTCAGGGTCTCACTACTAGATCACTCATAGTGATCCACCTGTTTACAGCCTCCCAAGAGCTGGGATTACAGGCATGCACCACCACATCCAATCTCAACTGCCGTCTGAACACGCCCCGGGGATCAAACCCCCAGTCCCTGTGCCTGCTTGCAGGTGCTTTAATCCACTGTGCTATTTGGCCAGCCCATTTTTTTTATGTATTTGGTACAGGGTCTCACTACACAACTCAGACTCAGGGGCCTGCCCATTAGCTCAGGTGTTTAAGTGCCTGCTGAAACAAAGCAGTAGGCTCAGGATGCTGTGGTTTGATCCCCTCATCCTCAAGCCAAACCAGACCTGCCCTGAAGGCATCCTGAGTACACTCCCCGCCAAAAAAAAAAATCCTACACAGCTCAGACTGACAGTGATTCTGTTTTCAGCCTCCCCAGCACTGGGATTACAGACACGTGCTACCATGCCTGGTCTCGGTGGCTGGCTCAGTGCACGTGGGGACAGGGCTAGCATGGCATGTGGTGCCAGGGACCAAACCCCAGTCCCTTTCTTGCCTAAGCAGGCATTTAGTCCACTGAGTCATCTTTCAGGCCACTGAAACTGGGCATGGTGGCACATGCCTATAATCCCAGTGCTGGGGAGGCTGAAACAGGAGGATCACTTAGGAGTCTGAGCTGTGTAGCAAGACCCCATACCAAATACAGTTTTAAAAAAATACAAGTAGGTCATATTCTCCAGTTGCTCAAAGACCCTAACCCTCAATTATCCAGTAACCCTTAGTTATTCTGTGCATGTTGTATGAAATCTCTGAAAGTTGTGTGTTGTGGCCCAGCAAGGGGCTGGGGATGTGACTCAGTGGTAAAGCACTTGCCAAACATGTGAGGGCATGGGTCCAATACCCAGCACAAGGGAAAAACACAACATAAACAGTGGCAGCAAATAGGTATTTGGGACACTCACTTGAAGGCCCAATTCAGCTGGGCAGAGGCTGGGAATTCAATCCTCCAGACCTCAGCCTGCTCTCCACACTCCCTACCTGCTGCTGAAGCCTGCAGGAAGCCCTGATGAGGCTTGACCAGGCCTGAGAGATGTTCTTCCCACCAGGCTTCTTTTGGTATAAAAGAACTTTCCTGGCCACCAAGGACAACCCAAAAAGAACCCATACGGGGCTGGGATTTTAGCTTAGTGGTAAAGTTCTTCATACATTCCATCTCCAGCACCAAAAAAAAGAAAAACAAAACACCCCATGAGCCATAGAGGAATCCAAACTGTGAGAAACAAGTGACTGTCCACATCAGTTGAGCCGCATTCACCACATCATCTGCTGGGGGCGGAGACAACAGGCTTACTTCCTTGGGTGCTGCTCAAGCTGGCAAAGCGAACTGTGAGAAGCATCAGGAATGGAAACGAGGCTAGGGGCACATCAGAACTCCATGAGCACCCCATGGCTCTGCTGAATCCTGAATTCAAACAAGCCTTCAGGATCACACCAGGAGACAAGAGCAAGCAACTTTTGTGCCAAGTCCTCTTAAAATGTTTTGCAGTATCGCCCTTCACCAGGACTCCCAGGTCGCAACCCTGGCTCTGTGTAGTGTACGGCCTCAGTCTAACAGCACACCACCTCCTCCTAGGGCCATTACATCATAAGCCCAGGAGAAGCTACCACCTAATAGGATTCTTTATTTTTGTGGAACCGACGATTGAACTCAGGCCCTTGCGCTTGCCAGGCAAGTGCTTATGCTACTGAGCCATCTCCCTGGTCTGGCTAGGATTCTTGGGAATACCATTTGACAAGTAACTTTCTGAAGACTTTTTTTTCATCTTATGAAAATGAGAGTTGGAAGCTAGATGTGGCAGAGTACTTGACTAACATATACAGGGCCCTGAATTCCATCCCCAGCACTGAAAGAAACTCGAAGGAAAAAGAAAAGGAAAGGAAAGAGAGAGGGAGCTGGCTTAGCTGAAGAGTGATTCCAAATGAACAAGGCAGGTGAACCCACCTCTTGCAGCTCCTCCCACAGTACTCACGTTCCTCCGCAGAACTCAACAGAAGTGAGGGAGCCAGCAGGCCCTGAGGGGTCATCCAACAGCTCGGACACTGGGACCCCAATGGACACAACTCGCACAGGGTCAGGATAGGTCTCATCAAACACAGCCCGCAGGCCCTGGATGGCTTTGGCTGCTGCCAGTGGACAGTCCTGGGTATAGACAGGCTGTCATAGAAAGAAGACAGGAATGAAAGCTGGAAACAGAAAGTGGCAGGGAGTGTAGTCCTGCAACAGGACTCCTGCGTTGTTACCCTGGCTCTGTGCAGTGTACAGCCTCAGCCTTCTACAACAGCACAGCACATATGAGTGGCGGGGACTAGAGGGGATTTCCATCTCTTTCGTTACACTGTGAGCCAAAGTTCATGTAGGGGCCTGGGGAGATGGCTTAGTGGAGTAAGTGCTTGCCTGGCAAGAGCAAGGGCCTGAGTTCAATCCAGGGTTCCATCAAAAAACAAAACAAAAAACCCCCCCACAAAGGTCATGTAGGTAGGCTGTATGTAAGGAGACATAATTAGAAGAGTTTTGGATGTTTTAAGGAGGGGTTAGGTCATGGACCTGGCTCCCCCTGGCTCTCACCTTCCCCAAACACCATCTCTGCCTTCTACAAAAGTAGTTGGAGAATCGCTGCTTTTAGCAAATCAATGCTGTGGGACAGAATATGGTACAACAGAATGGGAACACATGGACCATGAGCCTCTATGATAGAATGTGGTGGGGAAGGAGTGAACTCATAGCCAGATCTACCTTGGCTGCCTCAATCATCTCATTAGCGATTTCTTCGGCCTTCTTAATCTGTTGGGTGGACATGGCTCCCTTGGCAGTGAAGTCAAATCGAAGGCGGTCAGGAGCGACCAGTGAGCCTTTCTGATCCGCCTCCCCAAGCACTGAGCGCAGGGCAAAGTTGAGAATGTGGGTGGCTGTGTGGTTGCTCATGATGGGTCTCCGCCGGGGCTGTAAAGGGCATGGGTGGTGGACAGGTCAGTAACAGAAGGCTGTTTTCCTCAAGGTCTAGAGTTTTTAGTTGGGTGCACAGCTGCTGAGAGAAAAGCATCATTTTCCAGCTTTCCCTGCAGGTTAATGCGGTCACATGACTAAGTCCTGACAAAAGAGTATACAAAGTGAGGCATACTCTGCCCCTTCCTCTGCCTGGCCCAGGACAGGGATCAGCCAGCTGTGGCCTACAGGCCAAATACAGCCCATTGTGTGCTTTTACAAATAACTTTCCTCACAGGACTGTCCTGCTACAATGCTGTATATGGTTAGATTTCTAAATTCTTTTTTTTTTTTTTAAAGGTTAAACTTTTCTTTTTAAATATTTTTATTTATTACATTTATTTATTGTGTGTGTGTGTGTGGCCAGCTCAGCCCACCAAGGGGCGGGTCTGGCTGGCATGTGGTGCTGGGGATCGAACCGCGGTCCCTGTGCTTTGCCAAGCTTGTTTCAAGTAGGTGCTTTAGACCACTGAGCCATCTCTCCAGCCCCAGATTTCTAAATTTCTGTGTAAAAATATGTAATTGTTTATTCATATTCTTTAAATATTTTTCCTTTTTTAAATGTTTATCTCTATATTCTATAGAGACTTAATGTTTAACATATCAATACTTGATGGAAAACACCTGTTCCCTGTTATGCCTAAGATGTTTAATATTCAGACAGATAGTGAAGTTAAACCCAACTGCATATGTTGTAGGGTAATAATAAGCTTCTCTTTTGGAGGATTAACAACCTAAGTTGCAGACCAAAAACTAGAGAAATAAAAGGGCTGCAAGGACAGCCAACATTTTGACCATAGCCTTTCAAGGTCAATGAAGACTCGGGACATAGGAGAACCTATACTGTAACATCATGTAACTCAGTTGTGTCCCAAATTTTCTGATCAAGGAGATTATGGGTCTACAGAGCAACATGATCGATGACATACAGTGTGCCTAAGGAAAGTCACCTGGAGAGAAAACATTCTCTCAGGCCTTCACAGAGAGCAAATTGGTCAAGCAATAGCCGTGACTCATCCTCATGGCTGACACTGACAAAGGATCTACAAGTGCGGTACACGGTTTCAGGGTAAATCCTGAGGGTACTTGACTGACCTTATCAGATATAAAAGTTACATTTCTTGCTATATAGGCCTTGCTTTATTTTGGTCTTAACCATCCAGCAGAAAAGTATAAAATCAAGGTATATAAAGTAAAGTCATATTAATACTCAGCTGTGAAAAGCTCAAGTCAATAACTTCTGAGGATAACCCACTAATATTATAGACTGCAAGACAGTGTTAGATTGTTTTGCTGAATTCAAACACCTATAATATTTAGATGCCAACAGAATATCAACCTCTGACAGGACTAAACAAAAAAAAGGGATATAAAGGAAAGATCATTTTGTATATGTATATGCAGAATAGTTAGGATAGATACACAGCTACTTTCACTTAATTCAATGAGAAGAAGAGGTGTACTAATATTGTTTGGACAGGATATCCTTCTTGTGTACTATGGCTAACCACTAAGAAGATAACAATGTACAATGTATTGATTATTGAAACTGTCCTATTAATCAGTTTTGAAACTGTCTTATTGCTATTTCTCAATAAAATAATTTAAAAACAAAAACAAGTAACTTTCCTAGGCCACAATGGCACACATTTGCTTACACCTGTGGCTACCTATGCGCTACCAGAGCAGAGCTGAGCAACTAGAATCAAAATCATGTGGTCCACAAAGCCAAAACTACTACTTGGCTGGCCCTTTACAGTTAGCCACATCACGCTATATTCCTAGCACTCTCAGAGTGAAGACCCTGGGCTTGGTCCCTAGTAACATACACCAACACACGCACACACCTAATACACACACACACCACACACACACACACACAGCCAATTCTCAACCTGGACAATAGATCTGTTTATCTGTCTGCTGAGCTATCTGGCCAGCCCTAGCTCCTGAAGAATCTGAGGTTACAAAATCATCTATGAGGTCGGGGAGATGGCTCAGTAGAATAAGTGCTTGCCTGGCAAGTCAAGGACCTGAGTTCAATC